GAGGAAGGAAGGGAGGGAGGGAGGGAGGAGGGAAGAGGGTGGAGCCTGAGGGAGGGAGGGAGGGGAGGCCATGGGTCTGAGGGAGGATGGCTGGGGACCTACAGAAGGGGGGCGAGGAATCCCTCCCGCAGGGAAAAGCCCCCTTCAGTGTGGGATGGAAGGGCAGAGCCTGTGTGCCAAGGGGGTTCATAGATTGGAGCCCCCAGACTCAGGGGATCCTGGTGGGTTTTGAGACGGACAAGGGAGTGACAGGAATTGGGGGGGGGAAGGGACATTGGGGAGGGGCGCGATGTGGGGAGGCCCCTCCCAAGGCTGCCCTTCTGTGTCTCAGCCCCCCTCACTGAAGGCCCAGAGGGGTGGGGGGGTGGGGGTGGGGGCTCACCTTGGTGTAGATGCCCCAGGAGAGCTCCGTCTCCGTCACCATCACCACGATGCCAAACATGCCGAAGATGAGGGCGTAGTCGCTTAGCCGCTTCCGCTTCTCAAAGAGCGCCCGCCGGTGCCCCAGCCGATGGCCCACGTTCGGGCTCCTCTTCTTGGGTTGCCGGGGGGGCACGTCCCCCTCCTCCACCTGTCCGTCCAGCTGGGGGTCCGAGCCCTTCCCCCGCTCGCCCTTGGAGACCACCACCTCCAGGTCGGAGTCGGGGAAGGTCTGCAGCGGCTGCGTCTCGGCGTCCAGCTCCCGCAGGTGGCGGGGGGAGATGCCCAAGCGGCCCAGCGGCCCCATGGCCCCCCCGTTGTGCCGGCAGCTGTTCATGGCTATCTCGGTGAAGGGGCTGCACTCGCCAGCAGCCGTTGGCCTGGACCCCGCATGGCTCAGGGGGGGGAAGTTCCCGCTTACCTGGGGAGGGGGAGGCAGAAGGAGGAAGAGCCCGTCACTGCCCCATGTCGACAGCAAAGGAGACCCTCACCAAGCATTTCAGGGGAGCCCCCCCCCCCCCAAATACAGGCAGTCCTTGACTTATGGCCACAACTGAGCATTTGTGTTGCTAAGTGAGCATTGACCCATTTTATGACCTTTCTCGCTCCTCGTTGTTAAGTGAAGTTTTAAACTTAGTAACACGATTGTTAAGTGAATCTAGGTTCCCCATGGTTTGTCAGGAGGTCGCAAATGTGGATCACATGACACACACACACCCCGGGAGACTGTGTCCTTCATAAATAAGGAGTCAGTGGACAAGCAGCCACTCGACCCCGGGACCCTGAAACCGCCATAAATGCAAAGCAGTGCATCTTTTTTCAGTGCCGTTGCAACTTGGGCCACTAAACAGACGGTCGTAAGTCGAACACTATCCGTAGAGGCCATTGGGATCGCTGGTGCCCCAAGAGGCCATGTCCAGTCAGGGCAGGGTCCGTGGCCAGGGGTCTCCCTGCCCCACCCCAGTGGTTGATGCTGCTCCTGCCTTCCGAGCCTGGGATGCCCCCGAGTGCCTGGCCAGAGCCACCTTCAGGGGGAGGGCCAGGGCCCCCCATTGCCTGGGCCCTTGGGGGACGGAGGGGGTCCACCGAGGGGAAACCTGAACCCAGAGCCTCCTAGGAGCAAACAATGGCAGCCAAAGGAGGAGGGTCCTTGGCCTAAGCCCCCTCCCCATCTCACTCGAGTGGGGTTCACATAGACTCCCGGTGAAGAATGCCCAGGGACCCTCCTCAGGCAAGAGCAGCCGCCCTTAGACCTACACACCGCTTCCCAGGGCTTTGCAACAGGAGGAGCTCTAAGCAGTTCACACAGTCGGCCTTTGGCCCCAACCATCTGGGTCCTCATCTTACCCACTTCAGAAGGAGGGAAGGCTATATAGAAGGATTCTGCTTTTCCAATTGCATCAATTCTGTACCTTTGTCCTTTCCATAGAAACATTAATAGCAATAGCAATAGCAGTTAGACTTATCTACCGCTTCATAGGGCTTTCAGCCCTCTCTAAGCGGTTTACAGAGTCAGCATATCGCCCCCAACAACAATCCGGGTCCTCATTTGAGCTTTTGCGAAGCTCGCGTGGCGAAAGGGCTCTGCCACGCGCGTGTGGTGGGCACGGAAAGCTTCTCCTCGGCATGGATGGACCGAATGGGGTTTCTTTAGCCACGGTAACCGCCTTCCACCTCTTTCCGGCATCTGCCCTG